GAATAATAAATTCATTAATATCTTTATTTTCAATATTCTTTTCATTGATTATTTCTAGAGTATCTGGTATTTTAATACTAACTAACACTGGTTCATTCATAAATATTCTTTCTTCACTAATAAATTGTAGATTTTCTATATTAATTGATTTTAATGACTCACATCCATAAAAACAACTATTTTCTATTTTACTAATTGATGATGGTATATTAATTGTTGTTAATGATGAACAATTACCAAAACAACAATTTCCTATTTTACTTATTGATGATGGTATATTAATTGATGTTAATGAATAACAATCTCTAAAACATGCATCTCCTATTTCATTAATTGATGATGGTATATTAATTGTTGTTAATGATGTACATCTATTAAAACAAAAATGTCCTATTTTACTAATTGATGTTGGTATATTAATTGTTGTCAATGAATCACAGTATCTAAAACAATTACACCTAAGTGATTTAACTTCTGGTGGTATTGTATTTCCATATTTATTTCTATCTTCTTTTGTATATTCTATATTTTTACATGAATTTCCTGCTTCTTTCTCTTTTAAATATGTTGAATAATTTACTAAATACCATATTACTTGTTTAAATATTCTTCCATCATTAAATATTTTATCATATTTATTATAAATATGAAATGTTTCAATATTAGGAAACAATTTTCTTGAATATTCATTTAAAGGAATTGGATTAAAATGAAATCGTTCAATATTTCCTTGAAATCTTTTAACTCCTATTTCTAAATTAATAAAATCATTAATATCATTAAAATACATTGATGTTATCATTATTTCATTATATCCTAATCTCATTATTGTTTTATTATTTATTAGTTGTTTTTATTAGTTCTTTTATTTTTATATTTTAATTTCTTCTTTTTTATTCTTTATCATCATTCTATTTTTATTAATTGATGTTTATTATGAAAAACATTAAATAATAAGAAATAAAATAAAATGTTATTTATTTTTATTTTTAATAAATTATAATTATTAAATATTTCATTTTGTTGTTATTTTATTCATTATTAGATGTCCTTTTATCAATGCAGAATATACAACAAATTTTGTTGCCATGCCTATTGAGTAATACCATAGAGTCTTGTAAAGAAAATCAAACAACAAACAGGTATTCAGGTTCAAAGAAAAGAAAGGACTTCAATAGCAATAAAATGCATAATAATTATGATAAAAGAAATAACAAGAGAAAAGTGAATAGAAAAAGAAGAATACAAATAAAAACAAATAAGAAACAAAGTAAATATAATGATAATAAACATTATACAAACAAGAAACCTAAATTATTAACAACAAAATAAAATTAAAATGAAAATTAAAAGAATAACAAGAAAATGGGAGAAAGGAGAATACAGAATTACTTAAAAAGTATGAAGGTAAAGAAATGTATAATATTCTCCAAGAAGTATATTCAATAAGAAAGAAGAAAACACTAGAGAAAAACAAAGAAGAAATCAAAGATAAAACAAAAGATTGGAAAAGTGAAGATATTAAAAGAATCGAAGAAGAAATCAAACACAAAAACCCAATCAAAGAAATGAATGATAGATGTAAAGCTGCAAGAATAATAAATGAAAAAGAAAATAAGGGAAAACACAAGACAAAGAAGAGAAAAAGGAAGAAGAAGGCAACAAAGAAGAAATTAACACACTTCAAAATAAAATCAAAGAAATAGAAGAAACTATTAAAGAATTTCAAACAAAAAAGAAGAACGAATCATTTCAAATGAAATGATCAAAAAACA